CCACCCCCCCCCCCCCCAAAATTCCTCCTCCTACAAGAGGGGTAAATATTTAGCTGATGTTGAAGTCCCTGATTTGGAATATTAGAGGTATTGCTAAATCAAATACATCAAATAGACTAAAAACCTTATTAGGATTCACAAACTCAAATACCTTGCATTTCTTGAACCAATGGTAGCTGCCGAAAATCAAAATAAACATAAAAAAAACTGGGTAAGTTTCAATGCTTATCCAATCGCAGCAATGAGATATGGTTACTATGGAAGGATAAAGATGACAATCAGTTTCTACTTTTGCAAATTAAAATTGCTGATTTGGAATTTAATGTAACAATGCTGGTTGTACAAGGGGTTCCATGAAAGAATTGGGATAACATGAGAATTTTGACCACTATAACGCTTGGCTGATAAGGGGTGACTTCAGTATGATTATCAATTCTTCCGAAAAGAGAGCGAGCAGACAACCCAATTCTTCAATCATAGCTGAGTTTGCTGAGGCTATTAATGATTCAGAACTCTTAAAAGCTGCATGTACAAGTTACCCCTTCACTTGGTGTAGGAGTAAAACATTTGAAAGGCTGGACTGAATACTGGTCAATAGTGCTTGGAATGGTCTTTTTCAGCAATACCTGTGTGAGCCGTTTGAGTAGAACATGCTCTGATCATGCCCCTCTCCTCTTATCAATTGATACCATCCAAGGATCTGGCCATTCTCTATTCAGATTCTTCAATATGTGGATTAAGCACAATAATTTTCTGGAATGTAGTAAAGAGGCCTGGATCACTGAATTTAAGGGCAATCCTTAGACAATTCTTTGGTTACTTCACAAAACTCTGGTGGCTAAACTAAGAAAACAGAATTGGGAAATATTTGGGGAAACTTCTAAGCAGGTGCAAGATGCTAAAAAGTAGAGTTTGCGCACTGGAAAAAGAGTTTGTTAATAATTCTTCAGTGGAAGAGGAGTTGCTTGCTGCTCAAGCAGATTTGATGGTGGCAATCTCTATGGAAGAGAGTTTCTTAGGTCAAAAAGCTGTTGTAATTAAGTTTACTGATGGGGATAGAACTATCATGTTTTACCATGCTTGTATCAAACCAAGAAGGCAGCAAAATGCCATTCTGAAAATCAAAGATGAAAGGGATGGGTGTATAAAGGGATGAGATCATTCAAAGTGGTGTTGATTTCTTTCAAAAAGTATTTGCTGCCACTCCTATCTTGTCAGCCATGTAGGAAGGTCTGTTTGAAGACAGCAACCAATTGAAAAAATATTTTAACTTGGTTTGCATTCCTCGGTAAACTGAAATATGGGAGGCTCCCGAGTCAATTGATGGAAGCAAGTCAGCTGGACCAGATGACTTTATAGTAAAGTTTTACAAAACCAACTGGTTTATTGTGAAGACTGATCTAAGTACTGTAGTTCAAAGTTATTTTCAGGGTGAAGAACAACATAAATATTTTAAAACCTCTTCAATCACTCTTATCCCCAATACAAATGATATAAGTAGTTGGGACCAATTCAGACTCATCAGCCTTATAAGTGTAGTTTCTAAAATCATTAGTAAGATTATGGTGGAACAAATTCAGCCTCACTTAAATGTTCTAACTAGTCCACAACAATTAGCGTTCACAAAGGAAAGAAATATTTCTGACAATATTCTTATTGCACAAGAGCTACTATTGGATATAGATAGAAGATGTAGAGGGGGTAATCTCATCATCAAACCTGATATTAAGAAGGCCTATGATAGTATTAGTTGGGATTTCATCAATGCTGTCATGAAAGCTAATGGATTCGATACTGAATTTTGTAATCTCATTCGCAGGATATTAGATAACAAGTATAACTTTGTTTTCATCAATGGACAATCTTATGGTCATTTCAAAGCTAATAAAGGTATTAAACAAAATGATCCTCTTTAACCCCTCCATTTTCATTTTAGTCTTTTATTACTTGTACAAGTTGTTGGAGAAAGTTTAGTAAAATCACCAGTATGTTCATTATGCTTCTAAAAGTATTTCATATCTCACCTGGCATTTGCTGGCGGCATGATTATCTTCACCTATACAAGTAAAAGAGCTGTTAGGAGAATCTGGGAGGTTCTGCAACACTTTGAAAAGATTTTTGGTATAAATTCTAAAAAATCTAAATGCCAATTTCTAGTAGGGAAGGTTAAGAAGAGATGGAACAAAAATTTTATAGGTTTCTCTACAGCTTGAGCTGTCATTCAAATATCTGGGAATACTTCTTGGCAAGAGTCGAAGGAAGAAGATTCTCTTAGATGAAGTGATTAAGAAGATTGATCAAAGAATACATTCTTGAGCCAATTATTTCCTATCGTTTGGTGACAAAGTTACACTCCTAAGAAAGTGTGCTCAATTGCATACCTCTCTATTCCATTCAAGTATTAAACATGCAAAGCTGTGTTCAGAATAGATTGGATAAAATTTTTACTTATGGGCAGGGAAGAACAAGAGGCTACATTGGACAAGCTAGAAAAAAACGGAGTAAAACAAAAGCTGAAAGAGGACTGGGTTTTAGAGCCTTGAATGAATCAATGGAGATAAATTACATGAAGTTGTGGAATGGATTTTAAGCTGACAACTCATTATGGGCTCAATAAATGAAAAGCAACCACAGTAGCAACTCCCATCCTTGCAATATCAATGCTTTAAAAGGGGGTTGTGTATTTTAGGAAGAAATGCTAAAAGATAGATTTTATTCATTGGAAACTGGGGAAAGGTGAGCTGAGTTTTTGGTATGATGACTGGTCACTTTATGGTCATTTAGCTGTAGGGTCAAAACCAGCCTCTTTTTTCAAGGTGGAGATACTTATTATAAAATGAATTAGTGAAGAAAATAGTACAAAATTCTAAAGTAAAGACTTTTATTTCATTATTATTGATAAATTAAATAATATTACAAGAATTTCAATCCATTTTGTATTTTTTTATAAATTAAAAAAATAATTGTGTTTTACTGTAAATTTACATGAAAGTGCAAGTTTCATGTGAAACTCAAACTAAATACAAGATATTTATTTAAAAGCTTGATAAATAAATATATGCAAAATAATTAATAAATGATTTACATTTTCAGGCAAATTATAATTTTATCTCATATATTTATTTTCTATTTTGGTTTGCTCAAAAATAAGTAAAATAATTTTTAAAACAAATGTATGATAGGAACATACTAATTTTTTTTTTTTCTTTTAAAATATAGGGAGGGGCATTTACTTACATACCACCACCTAATTCTTATGTATATACACATCTAACATATAAAATTCACTTTTTACATTTATACCGGCTAAATTTTTCATATCATATGAAAAGTATACTTATTTTAATTTTTGTGATAACACTATTTTAATTTTCAAAAAGTGAAATACATCTCTTTATGCATAGGTAAGGTGACTTTATGAAAAATTTGAAGTATAGCTATTAGATATCTAAATAAATAGAAATTGAGTGATATATATGTAAATTTCCAGATAATAACACATTCTAGGTGGTCCGACATTAAAAGTGTTGTGGAATTTAGTTCCACATTGGTTTGTGAACCAATATTGTTGTTGATTAAATTAAAAAATGACTGGGTTCAGTTGTTATCACAAACTCGTTGGTATGCACCTTATGGACACTTCTTTATAATAGTTTTAAGGAAATATTAAAGTATTTTAAAAAAAATTAATTTCAAAATTTACATTAGTAAGTTTAACTTTTATATAAAATTAGTTAACATCCTAAGAGCTTTAATAAGCTTAGGTTCTTATCCAATAGAAAAGAAGTTAAATGAGATGTTGATTAATAAATTAAGGCTTTAATATTAGGCTCGATTTGATAGGTTAAATGAGTTTAAGCAGTTAACATGAGAACCCCAACTTGAATATGGGCTGGATTTGTTTGCAGGGTCAATTGGGACAAAGTAATATAATTTAGAGGAGACAAATAATTAAAATGTATCTTCTTTACCAAAAAATTTTCAAATTTCAGCACCCCCAAGAACAGTCCGTAGGTCCGCCTCCATTTATCTGTAATGCAGGATAACACATTTGACAAAGATTTGAGGGTAGCTGATTGCTGGAAAGGAGAGCAATGGGATTCAGATAAACTTCAGGGTGTGCTACAAAATGAAGAGTGGAAATATATCAGCAGCATCCCTTTTAATAGACAGGAGAAGGATACTCTAATAGTGAAGAACTCTACAAATAGGTCTCCGTCCAAAGCCAATGACCAGGAGATCACATCCTAGTATGAAGTGGGGAGAACAAATCTGGAACAAAATGCTAACACCTACACAATCTTTCTTTATTTGGAGAAAATCTCAAGATTTGCTACCTACTGATGATATCCTCAAGCTGAAAAGGTTGAGGCTACCTTCTATTTGTCACTTATGTAAAAGAGCGAAGGAAGCATCCACTTTTTAAATGTGAATATGCTGTAAAATTTGGAACAATGTGAGTAGTTTATTCAATGTTGAAATGCGAACAGATGGTTACCATTTTCAGATTGCTGGATAATTGGAAGGCACATGGTCATCAGCTCCATTTTAAAAGCATTGTACCATTTATTTGTACATGGTTAGTTTAGACAGCCAGGAACACTAGCAAACATGAAGATAAGGTGGATCCCACCAATAAAACTATAACAACCATTAGATCTTATATAAAAAAGGTGGCGAGGTAGGTCAACAAAAGGCTGGACTCAACGATGTGTTATAATCATTGAATGAAACTTGGCGTTGGACAGCTGGGAGACATATTAAGGTGGTGTTTTGGAATAAGCCTTATTGTCCTTGGGTTAAAATCAATCTAGATGGTAGCTTCACTAATGATAAAGCTGGTGTGGGAGGGATTTTCAGCATTGATGTGTTGCTTATTCAGCCATTCATACTGAAGCGATTGATATTCTTACTACTCTAAAGGTGGCCGGTTCTACGAATTGAGGAATGTATCATCCTAGTGATGGATTCTAAAACACATCTCCAGATTTTGACAAAGGGAGACAGAGGACCCTGGTACCTTCATATCATTTTACAAAAAATTACAGCTTTACTTAGATTCAAGCAAGTCAAATGAAACCATGTGTTAAGGGGAGGCAATCAACCAGCAATTAAAATACGTATATTCTCTTTTCTTCTCTTTATAATTACAAATATTCTCTTTGCTTCTCTTTTAGATTATTATTCTCTTCTCCTGCTTGCATATAAATACGTATATACTTGCAATTTAGTAAATATGTAATCCTTTATAATTCTTTCGCTTCTAGCACAAATTATTCATATACAAACTTCATTATCAAAACAAAGTATTTAATGCATCAGATGAATAAGGACCTTACCTCACTTTTCATCATATTTGATTCTTTACCAGCAGACCAAGCTTTAGTGAGCATCAACATCAAGGCAGAGTCAAGTTGTTTATTGTTAGCTAAATCATCTATCTTTTTACAAGCAGCAGCAACTGATGGAGAATTGATTATATCTTGGAGCTTTAGCTCTGCAGTTTCTACGGCCTGAATGCTTTCTGATGCAATATCATATGCTTGAACAGCAGCAAGACAATCGTTTCCCAACTTTGCCAAAGCTAGTAAAATAATAGTAAAAAATGAGCACACCGACAATCAAAAAAATTGAACTGCTCCCAAACAAAAAATAATAACCACAAAGTGCTTAGCAAGAACAAAGACAAATTAAACATGCATAATTTTAGTTTCTGAATATAAAAATGGAAAATGGGACTCCTCATTATTTTTTTAAATTAATAATCATGCAATAAATACAAGATTTTCTAAACCAAGCACATAAAGCTATACCATTATCATTGCCTTCAAATATCAAACAATGGGAAAATGAATAATGCATAAAAGCATTTGCAAGATGTTCTCCCTCTCATCAAGTGTTCGAAAATTTTCAACTGACATGCTCTTAATAATCATAAGGAAGCAAACCCATACTAAAATACAATCTCAAATGTGAATGCTGGTGAACGATTATAAAACTAAATGTGTCCTTCAGATAAGTACACGATAATGATAAAGTAGAGATGGCATGAGAAAGGTGCAACGGAGCAATTGGGAGCTTTCACTATTTGCCATATACTCTTGCTCGAATTTACCAACCTATAATCTTATAACAAATACTAATTCAATGCTCAACTTCCTAAGAGAATAAATTTTAAAAAAAAAAAAGCAAGGAAAAAAACTCTAGAAGGCTTTTAAATCTGCATCTTTCACATATATGATCATCATGAAAAAATGGAAAAAAGGCAGCACAAGTCCAGAATAATATAGAAGATAACAACAAACACAACTATAGTTAAAAGCCCACTCTTCACTAAAGCAGAAAAGATGTTGCATTCTGAACAGAGAACCAAGAGTTATTGATCAAATGATGAACCGGTTGAACTACTCTCTAACAATTAAATCGGCCAGATGTTCATGTAATTGCTATGACCTAATTGGACATCATGCATTAGAAAAATAAAAGCCTTTAAAATTCAATATTTGGAAGTATAAATTTATAATGCATGATGCTCTGGATGGATAAAGAAAATTGCTCTACTTAAACATGCTAGAATATTCAATCAAATCTCACAATTTTGTTCTGTTGGGTTGTCAACATAAGATTCTACAACAGTATGAAGATGAACAAAAAATTCCTTAGTGAAATCTTTTCGCTGCTTTGCAACAATAGAGCTAATGTCATCTGGTGCCCCTTTAATCGCATTAATAAGTTCAGAATGCCTTTGCACATCGCCATCAATCTGCACAAATTGCAAATAAGACAACAGCAGCATTAGTGGAAGCCTTACAACAGTTCTTTTTTCCTTTTAAAAAGATTGAATTCCAAGCAAATTTAAAGTAAGAATGCACGAAAAACACTAGGCATGTGATACAAGTGAAGATTTAAAAACTTTTCCAGATCACATTGCTCTCATAAAACATGTGACCATCTACCAATATCTTAACACTCTGCAGTGTGACATGCGGCTAAGGAAAAAGTGAAAGAAATGTCAATAACAAATGACGTGCCCTACCTCCTTCAATTTCCTACCAAGTCTGAAAAGCAAGTGTTTCATTTCTGAATTGCTCTCCAAATCAGCTCTTTTCTGACAGTGCTTGAAAAAGTGAAGTCTGATATTTCTCCATTCCCTGCTAAAAGCTAATAATCTTCTCCAATCAGTGGGCGTTGGTTTATCAACCAAAAACACCTCAATTAACTTATCACATACTTTGACCATTCTATCATCAGTGGGGTATTCTGAATCAATTCTACCGTTCTCTCCAGGGCCTATCCCCTGAAGTATGGCTTCCTCAGCACTGGATACTTTAGATGATAAATCTCCAGCATAAACACTTGTCTCAACAGCCGTATCACCCACTGCTGTAGGGGATAAGCATTGAGATCGAAATGAAACAAGACATAATCCACCTGAAATCAAATCAAATCTGTAGCTATAATTTGAAACTTGGAAGCTAGATAAAGTTAATATCTTCATTCAGATGGACGAGGCAAAAATTTATTCATACTCAGATAAAAACTCGAAAAGAAGATTTTCTATTTCAACAATTAAAATGTTTAACCAACGCCAATGAACAAAAAATAAGTGTAATAAATCGCAAATGACCATATTCAAGCCCAGTCCCTTGCAAAATTTTGCATATCATGATGACAGGCTTGAGGTGGCATAAAACTATCTGCCGCGTAAATTATGTGCAATTCCCTAAACCCCTAACTAATCAAAATAATCTATGTAAAGAGTAGACGGATAAATTAAGATGTCGGCCTTATAATCGCACGAAAATGCAGCAAACTCCAACCCAATCGCGAATCTTTAGTTCTAAGAAAATTTCGCAGTGGTAAGGCTAAAATACAAATTTTACAAAATTCGAAATAATAGCGAAACTTCGGCTTACCCCGTCTTGCTGTGCCAGATTGAGAAATCCAACGAAGCGGAAAAACGGCATTTCGTCCGTGAAGATTCAAACAGCAGAATCCATAACGCGAAGAAAACCCCGAGATATCCGAGCTGCAAGTCAAGCGAACGTTGAATCGAGGATGAATCTTCAAGTGCCGAAGGCAATGAGAGATCTCCATCCGCGCAAGGATAGAAGAGATATAGGTGTGGGTTCTCACGAAGTTTTAGAGGGAGTGTTGGGAGGGCTGTAAAAACATTTTGCTCAGTGAGAGGCGGGCGGCCCACAACTTCGCCATATTCGTTTAAACATCTCCGAAAACAAAATCTTTTTAGTTGTTGTCGAGCTCATGTACTGAAGAACCGGCATAAGAATTGGCATAAGCTGTGTGTCGATTTCAACTCCTTCACCCAACCAACAACCATACCTATCTGTCTCCTCCTCTTCTTTTGTATTACATCTCTAGAGAATATTATGCTCTTTAATATGCGGCATCTTCATGTATATCAATTTCCTGTCCTTTCTATAGAAACTTAATGCATTGATGTAATGAAGAAGGGACCATTTTATGCTCATGAACTCATGGTCGATCAAACAAAGCATTAAAAGAAGTTTTAGAATAAAAAACATGAAATTTTGTCGTCGTCACCAAATTTTCCATCTTCAAAAGCAACTTTATTTACCCAACGGCTTGTTCTCTTGGTTGGTTGAATCCTCGTTACATCATTTTGTCTCTTGTTAGTCTGCAAGCGTCGATGTCCAAATATGCGAGAGTTCTCAGATTCATAATGTTAATCGAGGCGCTAGGATCAATAAGTACTCTTGTAAGTGTGGTTTCATTTATATTTACCGTGATATATAATAGACGGTTATATTTGGTTGTTCCGAGCAACAAGTCATTGTCAAAAAAAATTATCTTAGTCTGTTCTTCTAACGAGTAAGCCTCATTTGAAGAAATACTAGCAAGTTGAGCTAGACAAATTTCTGGATCCAAGAGAGCTTTTATTAATGATTCCCTCATTTCTTTGGAAAGGATAAGGGCATCTCATATGCTTAACTTTGATGATAGTTTTCTTAAACGGGCTAATATGTTATAGTATACCTTGTTATGGAAATTGCCTTTGTTTCTTTCGGACAATCCTTCTTGTACTAGAGGAACGGTTTCTTCTGGTGCTACTATTTGTTTTTCCTTTTCTTTAGGGGCCATTTTTTGAGGTAGAACTCTTCCACTTTGCAAGTTGACTTCAATTATTTCTTCTAGTGTATTATATGATTCTTTTGTTTCAGAGTTGGAAGGCTCCAATTCAATGGAAATTGATACTCCTTGTAATTCAAGTGTGATAATGTCATCATCATTTTCATTGTTGTCAGAACTATCGTTGTTGTCATTATTACTTTGATCTTCGTTGGAATTATCGAGATTGTGTACGATTTAAGTATTATCTACAGAATCGATATTGGATTGGTCATTTTCAGAGGTGGTATTGAAAATAGACAAAATGTAAGCAGAACTGAAAGTTGTATTATTCATAGTAGGGATAAAAAGAAAGTCTTACAAAGTCAACTACTCAAGGGATTTCTTCCCTTCATCTGAGATGACTATTCTAGTAGCATGTGGAGAAGTAAGGGAAGTGGAAGGTACAAAAGGAACATTAGCCCCTATATCTAGAAAACCTCAAACCCTTTTTAATTCTTTCTTTTTCTTTTTCTTTTCTTTCTTAAAAGATGTTGTCGTTGAATCCGCAGGAGTCTTCTCAAGAGACCTGCCTTGAGCAAGATTTTCTTTGTCTTCATTGTTGAAATGATTGTTGGGAATAAATTCATCTGTCCAAATCATACAAACAAAACCATTTTCAAACTCTTTCAGATATTCTTTCAGGACCACTATATTCCCTCTTTGAAGTTACATTCTAGCCAATCTTTGAATACAAAACATTCTTCGATTTTGTGTTCGAGTATCCTATAGTAAGGACAATAATTAGGATGATCTTTCATATCGACTTCTCCCGGTCTTTTAGCTTCCGGTAATTTAAATTCAGGCATTTCAACAAACTACGGAATATGTTTGCGACATTTTTTTTTTGAATGGATATTCCTTTTTCAATCTCTTGGACATTGATTTCTTATCTTTTTGCGATGGGATTGATTTTTGAAGTTGAAGTTGTGAAGGTGATTGTGGTTTTGATTGACTTATATTCTATTGTTGCTTTGTTTGCTCGGGTTGCACTTGCATTACTTACTTGCCCTTTTCTATCGTCGAGACATTTCCTTATTTCTTTTTAAATGTCTTAACCGACTTTGTCTTCTCTCTATTTGCTATCGTTCTCATTTGCTTAAGTTCATCCTGAAGGTTGACAACTTTACTGAGTAGATTTTCAAATGTTTTTATTGTTAATCATTTAAGCATGAAAGCTATAGGACCATGAATATTTTTAAGCAGAATTTCAACTCCGTGTTGCACTTGAAGTTGTGGTTCACGTTTCATACTGAGATTTCTCCAGCGTAAAATTTAATCCACAAGAGTTTCTCCTGGCTTTTGTTTCTCCACTAGCAAGTCTCCAACTATTATATGATGTTGTGCTCCAGTGAATCGTTGAATGAAGAGATTCTCAAGTTTGGCAAATGTTTTAATATACTCGTTAAGAATTTTTGTGTACCAATCGAAAGCAACTCATATAAGGTTGTTAACAAATTGACGAAATAAAAGAGCATTGCTTTCTCCCGTGTTGCAGCAACTTGCTTTGAAGTGTGCTAGATGTTAACGAGGTTTGTCAGTCCCATCAAACATTTTAAAGAGAGATCGAACAAAGCCTTTAGGATATTGGACGGAATCAAATTCCTATTGATAAAGTCTACCCTTTGGAATCAATGATCCGACCCTAACTTGAGTCATTGTTTCTTTTGCTTTTTGTTCCACAAGTTGTGTAATTTCTTTTTCCAAGATTTCACTTTGGGTTGAATCTTTTTGTTTTTGGGTGCTTTCCTCAAATTCTATTGATTCTCTTTTGTCTTCAAGAATATGTATTGCCTCAGGTCTCATGATTTCAAAGGCAGATTGAGGAGTTGTTTGTGATGAATTTTATAAAGCTGTCATCATTTCTTCAAATTTTTGTTCAAGATGATTAATTTGCTCATCTTGTTATTGAATAGTCGTTCATAATCCTTCGGTTATGTTTTATTCATTTGGAGGTGGTAATTCTCATGCTGAGGAAGTAGCTCATGTATCAACCATGTTTGTTTCTGGAAATTCTTCGTTTGGGCTATCGAAGAATTATCTTTTCTTCGTGTTGATAATCTTTTGATATCGACTTTTAATTTCCTTGATCTTTCTTCAAATGATTTAACAGAATGTTTCTCACAAGTCTTCTCTTGAAAACTATCTACAAGAGTGTTCACAACATTAGAGACTTCTTCCGATAGTTCCCTTTTCCACACATTTTTCTTGAGTATAGGACGAGATAATTTAGGAAGTGTATCATCTCACTGTGAATAAAAACGATCTCTGGTCCGTAACATTTGCACAAGGCCTTTCTTTTAGCAGATATTTATTTTGCATTTGAGATCAATTTATTGTGTTTTGTTCTATCTCTTGAAATGGATACATTTTCTACTCGACGCTAAACGAAGTTTAGCTGGTATCTGAGTAGGTTGGTGTTTTAATTATAATTGTTCATCTATATCTTGAAAGGTAGAATCTTCTTGTGCAAGGAGTTTCCTTTCCATTGATGTGGAAACAACACATCCCATTTTTTCTACAAGTTGAGAGATCAAACATCTATCCTTTCGTGCAAGTCTCTTAAATGCAAAATATATCACTTGAAATGACAAGGTACTGTTTCTTTTTGGAGGTTGGAATACATCTTCATCATTCTCAATGGCTATTGGATAGAATTTATTTTTCTATAAAGAAGAAGCGTCTTTAGATTCAGATGCTTCAGAATTTTTAATCCCATTTCTCTTATTTTTTTCTCATAAGAGAGTGATTTTTGTTTCATTATTGGGTATGTGTTAGAGAAATAGTCTTATAACAAGATCCAACCTCGTATACAGATGGTGATAGAATATCACTTTCCTGCTCAATACAAATTTTCTTTCCTTTTTGATCAACTTCCCCTTCCATATTCTCAAAAGTGTATTGTTTTATAAGAGGCTCTTGAGGTGATCTTCTTCAGAAAGAAGAAAATCTTCTAAATTGAATTCTACAAAGGGTTGTACAACAGTCTGAGATAGACTACTCAGTACAATTTTAGCTTCATCAAATAACCCAAATTAAATTTTTTGAAAGCAAGCGGTTTCATCAACTGGTGAATTAAGTTCTTGAGAATATGAAACGACTGAATTCGAGGAATCCATTGCAGTGTTCCTAGAAATTCAGGAGAATAAGATGTCAAAATTTATTATAGACTCGTTTTATAAACTAAAAAATTACTATATTATGTCGTTTTGTCATGTCATTATGGAAGATCTGTCATAAATAACTCTTAGAAAAGAGATAATATTGAGAAAGATGATTTTATCTGTTACAAGATGGAATATCTTTGAATGAAGAACATATGATTTAACCAGAGATTTTGGGTTCATTCCCCAGCAGAGTTGCCACTCTCTTGTCATCACATGGATCGTGTTGTTGCCATCACCGACCATTTCCTCATGTCAAATGTGGATTGTTGGATGCAGTATAAAAAGGAAATATAGGGAAAATTTTCATTGTGGTGAACATTAGAGAGAAAATTTTAGAATATCCAATTCCTAAGTTTCTCGTATAAGGAAAACCACATAAAAAACTTAATAACCAGAGATATAGGTGTATTACCTTTTCTGAATTCTTCATTCTCCTATAAGAGCAAGATCCTATAGTTAATTACATATTAGATAATTAAGACTGCCTAAGAAAACTCTTGATTAAAATTAATACATTCTCTAAGAAATTTTTAATGTCAAGATCAAGGAAAGAAACATCAATGTTTGAACCTAGGGTAATAATTTCTAAGAATTTGATTCTACCCCAGAGCTTCTATTTTGTCATTTTGTTTTTGTTAATGTCATTTTGTTTTATTTTATTTTGTCTATTTACTTTGTTTATAACTTATTTATGTCGTTTGGTTTTGTTGTTTTGTCATTTTGTTGTTTTGTTGTTTTGTTGTCATTGTTTTGTAGTTTTGAGGTTCACCGTTTCCACTTCAGAATGTCGTCCCTGCAAGATAGAGTTAGCACACTCTAATAACATGAAAAGTAAATCTAAAGCATAATTTGTTTCATATTTCCAATAAACTTGCAAAAACAGAACATGAAATCAAGTTTAAACTTATCAATTTATTTAATTAAATAAATTTTTAGATGACCTGGTAAAGATGTCTATGGCTCTATAGTCCCAAGGCCGTAAGGGTTCAGATCTACTTAGTTGAAAGGTGTTTAAACCAGGACTGAAAGATTCTTGT